ACAGCAGTGCACACTCATTTTCGCCATCTTAATTAATCCAATTTGATTTCAGATTCTGGAAGTTGTGTTTATTTGAACATTAAACGTTGCATTCCTATTCACAAAACTTTAAGCGTATGAGGCAGAGAAAGCCACTGTCATTTATGTCGAAAGAGATATAATTAGTAAATTAGTAAAATTTGGAAATTACTCCGTGAAAAACTTCTCCGCTCAGTTCATAAGACAGAAAAAAATACAAGTAAACACGCATTAAGGTGTGGTCACATTACCAAAACTGCAGTGAAATTTTATGAACAAAATTCCTTTGTCTCTTTTCAAAAGTGTAGAGATGTAAGAAGCATAGAAGTCACTTTCAAACCAAGCAGGTCTGTTGCTCAACATGGTGAATTCACATGACCAACTTGAAATGAAGCGACTAATGCCGAGTTCACACTGCACGATTTTAGCCCCGATTTTCACTCGCCGTCAGGTTTTGCGAAATCACCGACAAATTCCCGAAATCAGAGGCAAATCAGTGCTCGTTCACACGAGTGACAATCACGCAGTGTGAATTATCAAAGACTCGATCTGAGAATCGCAGACGTCCTTGAAATATTTGGCATGCTAAATATCTGGACCTGTCAGCGATTCAGAATCCTGCTGTGTGAAATGAGTTCTGACTGAAAAGTACATCGGCGATGACCTACAGCCAATGAGAGAGCAAAATACAGGGCAGCGGGAAGTTCGGGGAGGAGTTTGCGTGATCTTGCGTTATCACTTCTCGCGTGCATTTGGTTGTGAAAAGTAGTTTGCGGACCAGACAGAGTTGTCTGCGATTCCTCCTATTGTAAAGTCATGCAGTGTGTAACCTCCTGTCGCCGATCCATCGTGCAATGTGAACACAGCAGCAACTGAATGCTACCCCAGATAGTCGTGCAGTGTGAAACAACAGTGATCCGACGACTTTGAAAACCATGCAGTGTGAACTTGGCATAAGTTTTTCACCCTCACACGAAACTCCCAATCTCCCGGATTCATTCTGGAATGACTGGATTTCGCACACAAAATGTCAGTCACAGTAGCTAAACGTGACCACTAGCAAAACATAGTCACATTCAAACGTTTACATTCTGGTTGATCGATTATTTCAAGTCTACAAAACCGATTTCAATCAAAATTTCAGTCAGATCGAGCTCAGTTGAATCGACTGAGATGTTTACATGAAGGCCTTTCAGACCGATTAAGCCATCAGTCTGATTATAAACAGGTTATTTGTGTGCATGAGTTTATTGACGCATCCATGACAGTTTTGATTCCTAATAGTTAGTAATCATGTTAATAACCATTTACAGCCAATTTAAAAATCATTTTAAATCCTTGCATTCAGAAGTATTCAAAACTATAATATGCGATATATGGCACATAGCATATGAATAGACTTTTATATCACTGGACACAACTAAAATGTTGTAAATTTTTTTTTTAAGTCAGATTTGCTTCATTGTTAAAAGAATGTTTTGGATTAAATACAACATAGATACAAATGCAACTATTGATTACCACAGAAGAGAGAAAAACGCCGCAGTTACTCTCGTTCTATGAAAGCCATAGGGTGAATGTACCACAGCGAAATAAATGTTAACAACATATCAAAGGTGCACACATAACAATTAGGCAAATCTTTCGATGTGTCTTATATATATAGCATGAGAAGCTGAACTTGCCAGGTGTGTTTGTCCCTCACGGTTGTGAAACGCCTGCTGCTCATGAGCTTGACTAACCAGTAGGTCAGTAAAGAGTGAGTGTTAAAACTAAAGTTGGCAGGCTAGTGCTGAGATTCCCAACCATCACAAACATTAGAGTTTTGTGGCTTTTGGTGTATCATGTGTGTGAGTTTCGAGGCCATAAATGTATATCCACCTGCAGCTGCTTAAAAAAGTTTCCACCCAAACTTCCTGTTTCAATAAGACATAAATCAACACAGAAAAAAACGCAAATTCATATATAGTTACGAAGTAAATCGTTATTATGGACACTCATAATAAATACCGCATTATACTGGATATTATTATCTTGCATATTAAGTTAAAACTGCATAATTTGTTCAATTCAGTGACAAAAAGTGGGGGTACTTATGGCGCAAAAAAAAAAAAAAAAGTGATTCTGAAAGCCTTTGTTTTAATTTTATTTCAAAGTCTAAATTTTGTCTGGATATGGGTTAGCAACCTTTCTAACTGCGCTACAAGGCAGCTAATAAGCACTCCATGGCAATTGAGAACAATAGCCTACATAAAGTTGAGTAATGAACAGAATTCATATGCCTTATATCCTCTCCTGCTTATTCAATGTGTATTATAACTATCATACGTTTGTGTTACTGTAGCATTTGTATCTCACTGCTTATTTGACCCTTTTCTTAACCATTTCTGTATAACTCATATAAAATAAAGATATAAAGGTTTAAACACCCATCTGGAGATGAACTTTTTTTTTTTCTGCTATATGGCCCTGTCTAGGATAATTGTATTTTCCACTCAAAGGTGAACAAATATGTCATCTTTTGACTACATAATTTCTGTCAAGTCCTATATATATAGTAGATGTAAAAAACAACATTATTTCAAATCACACACATGGACGAGTTTGAAAAGAAGGCTCACGAATAAGAGTTTATTAACATCATGCAATAAGCAGGAACATTTTCAAAGACTACGTGAAAATCTTTAAAATACACTGTGAGCATGAAATCAAAGGTGGTGAAAAATTACGTTCAGGCAAGGCATATTTTAGTACACTCCACACTGGAATGTATTTCCACTGTACAGCACAGGTAAGGTTTGGCTGTGTAGCAGCAAGAAAATGAAATATTCCAGTCCTCCAATGCACTAGGTGGCACCAATAAAGAAGTTACGTGATATCAAAGTTCATAAAGTATAAATACTAATAAATTACTATAAATGTTGAAAATTTTTCCCGTACACTACAAATGTGTTTTAACAAACATGCAACAAAATATTCATCAAGCTGACTTCATTCTTATGAATGGACATGGGACATGGTAGGCAAAGTGGTACGTAGTACTGATAAGGATGCCTCCATTAGCCCAGGCACATCCTGTCAGTCATATACGTGTATACGTGTGAGATGAGCCATGAAAATTGCCCCCTTTAAAATGCTAAGCTAATGAGAATCAATTCCAGGTGAACACATATCCCTCTTCATGCTGCAGATTTCTCTGTGAGTACCTAGTAATTCCTGTATGCTTGTTAAGAGATAAAATATTCCCAGGCAAAAAAATTCCCATTCTTACACAATGGACAATGTGACATCATTATAAGCAGCGTAGTGTTAAAACGGCCTTATGGGCCACACTCTTCAGATGGCCAGAGTTCAAGTCCTGGCTCAAGGTCCTTTCCTGATCTTGTTTACCTCTCTCTTCCCACATTGCCTCTTGCCTCTATCTCACTGTCTTGTCAATAATCAAGAAAACAAAAAGATCTTAAAATGGCTTTATTCATTAGGGGAAAGCTAAAATATATAGCTATAGTATTGAAAAGAACGATATACAGTGGTGTGAAAAAGTGTTGGCCCCCTTCCTGATTTCTTATTTTTTTGCATGCTTGTCACAATTTAATGTTTCAGATCATCAAAATCAGGAAGGGGGCCAACACTTTTTCACACCACTGTATATGGGCATGCCTGAGAACTTGAAGCTGAAGAAAGTGATTTATCAACATTACAGACACACAGTCCTTCTTAAAGGGATAGTTCACCCAAAAAAATAAATAAAACAAATCTAAATTCTGTTATTTACTCACCCTCATGTAATTTCAAACCTGTATGACTTTAATTATGATTAATGCAGAACAAATATTTTGAAGAATGTTGGTGAACAAACAGTTTTGATGACCATTGACTTCCATTGTATGGACAAAATGTGTTCCACACAAGAAACAAAGTCATACAGGTTTGGAACAATATGAGGGTGAGTAACTGATGACAGAATCTTCATTTTTGGGTGAATTAATCAATGAACATACAGTAGTCCAATTAAATCCAAAATAGTATGATCTTGTAATGGGTTTGGTGTGCTTAGTGGGGTTGCTTTGTATCTTGTGGTTGCATCTCATCAAATCTTTTATTAACAAGAAGAAAGATACAATAATCCCAAAGGTGAAAATCAGGAAAGCAAGATGCTACTGGAGGATGGACTTATAAACAAGTGTAAATCTGGTTAAGTTTGACATCATGCTACAGTTTCCGAGTCCAAACTCTCTATCAGATCCCAAAAGCAAATGACATTCGGTGCTAATATACACTCATTGTGTGCTGTAGTACTACCGAAAAACCATGATCCTAACCTAATCTCGATACTGAAAACATTTTTTCTAAATCGTTAAAATATTGGTATCCATAACTTTGTGAGGCTGCAGATTATACACCGTGAGTTTTTAAAAGCTTAGCTTAAAGGTGTGCCATAAATGAGTGCTCATAAATGGCTGTTGGGATAGTATTCTTACTTGAGTAGAGGCTTGGACCTGGAAATAGTATTCAGTACTAGGGCTGGGACAATAAATTGATGCATCGCGAATCGAGAAATGATCTTACATCGATTCTGCGATTTTCCAAAGGCATCGCGATTCTCTCTTGAATCGATTCTGAGCTTAGTTTTTAACAGCAGATGGTGTAATTGGATGCTTTAGAAATAGCCGTATTCTGCTTGCTTCCAGTTCCTTACACACGCACCATTTGAACCTAAAATAATCATTCATACAGTTGAAAAGGTTGAAGCGAATTACAAGGATGTTCACAGTGGGCGGTGTTTACATTAATCTCACATCATAAAAGCTGATGTGCAAGTACATTTAACCACTTACATTACTCAGCCAAATGCACAAGCATTCTTCTTCGTGAGCATTTGAGTGTGCGGTTAAAAACTAGCCTAGAGCGCCATCTGCTGTTAAAAACTAAGCTCAGAATCGATTCGAGAGAGAATTCCGAAAATCTCAGAATCGATCCACGAATCACGATGCATCGATTTATTGTCCCAGTCCTATTCAGTACGTCACAGCTTAAGAAGCGTATTACGTAAAGCTCTCAAATTAATTTTAAAATATAAATAGGCAGATATGTTCATGGCCAGACTCAGACAGTGGTCATGAGTTTGAGAGAGCCTGAACGAAATCGCATGATCTTCTTTTTGAGCGCATGTGAGGCTTTAATCTTGACCACAGCATTGGAGGGAATCTGTGAAGAAGAGGGGGACGGGGGCAAGTGAGGGGGCAGTTGCTGAGGCCAGACCAGCCCTCCGCTCTCATCTGAGTCACTCGACACTGAACTGGTTTCTGGAGAGAAAGTCTTGCTCAGACTGGAGTCGGACCCATCGGTCGGTGCAGTAGCGGCCTCTTGCACCCTCAGGTCCTGCTCCATGAACTGAACACTGGTGCACTTGCCAGGTAACTGACTTAGGCTGAATTTGTGCACGTCTTCTCTGAATATCCCCTCATCCTCTTCTTGACTGAGATCTGCCGAGGAGCACCAGAGACGCTGATTAGATGGATACAATTCGTCACTATGATACCTGCCCATGTCCCGTCCCACCGTATAATATTTGTGCTCCGGTTGGGCGGTCCATCCTTGAGAGATGCAACTGTCCTCTGACCGAGAGCAGATGGTCGACTTTGTTTGTCTCTCTCCTAGAGTTGTCCACCTTTTCTCTGGACTCCTTCTGGCTAGGGACTGAAGAAGGGCCCACTTTTGGGATGGAATGGGCTGGTGTTGCTCACGGGACTTGGGAGTTGACAACGTAGGTACGTAGGTGTGATTGCTGCAGGTGTGAATGTGGGGTTTCATGGTGTCTGACATTGTGGGATGCCGATCGATGTATACCGGTTGATGCCGAAGGGAGTCGTTGCTGCTAGTGTAGACTTCTTCGATTCCATACTGATCCATTTCCAAGGAGGATTCTGGCTCCTCACTGCTTAGGGAGGTTGGTCCAACTTGGGCATTGGGAAGGTTCATGTAATATCCATCTTGGGATTCACGCTCATTCTCTTCCTCAGAGAGAGTTGCCCATTCCTGCCATTGCGATTGGTCAAGTTGTGGGAAACTAGGTGGGTATGTGTGTAAGTCATGCCACTGATCGGGATCAGAGTTGAGTTCTGCTGTAGATCTGATGTGTCGTCGCTGCAGTAGTCCCAGGATGTAAATCTCCACATGCATAGCCTGCTGGATGTCTTCTTCCGTTGGGCCATCATCTATCTTCACTGCAGAATCTGCCTCAGCATCAGAATTGAGGCTCATCTCTGGTGTAAGGCTTTCATTCCCATCAGCTATCTGATCTGTAACCCACTGAGGGCTTTCTTCATCTTCTTCTTCCTCCTCTGTTCCCTCGGCAATACCCTCCAGTGGGGGGTATGGGGCAGAAAAAGAGCGGGGCAGGGTAGCATGTACTGTGGGCTCCATATGACCCTGCCAGTCCAGCATGTAGGCGTCTGTCAGCAGGTGAGAAATACACGATTTAGAAGAAATAAAACTATTTCTTAACAACAACATTTCTGATATCAAGGATGCTCAGATATGATGATGCCCTTGCAAAGTATTGCCTTCTTCAAAGCCAGCTATAGGGCTATATCAGGGTTGCCAAGTCTGCAGTTTTCCAGTGGAATTGGGGTACTTTTAAACTGTCGCTGCGAGTGGATTGTTTCCCCGAGGGTTAAAGGTTTGACATATTACATAAATTATATTTGCCTGAAAGGCTTGTATTTAAATATTTTACCCATTTTATATTCTACCAATGATACAACTGTGCCAGATGATGAGTTTTGTGAGAGAGGGGCACTGGTAGGGAGCCTTTAAGCTCCTAAGAGCTTCTTTATGAAAACAGGCTATGTTTATGATTACTACTATATAGTGATAAACACTGGCTGTAAAATATGTATTTTAGGGAGGGAACTGGCATATTTTGAATTTTGATATTTGGGATAGGCTAGTTTTGGGCTATGTTTGATTGGCCACTGGGGTGTTTCGATTACCAGACCTGGCAACCCTGGCCCACATTTTATTGCAGGCACTTTTATACTGTGAGAGAAAGAAAGACCACGATTTGAAAAAAAAATAAAAAATTGGTGTAAAATATGATTAAAGGAAACACTCACCCACAGATCTGGGCCTGTGACAGGAGACATTGAGGTTTGGGGAGGAACAGGAACGCAGTGGAGGAGACAGACTTTCACTTTGCTCATAAAACCCTGAGGGATCAAGATAAATCAAAATCTTATTTTCATTTATTAATTATTAGCTTTCATTGTTTTATTCACAATATCTGGATGAACTGTATGTTTCCGTAATCAATTTGCCAAATATTGCTAAATAACTTTACAAGATGGCAACACATTTCCTAACACAAACACCAGATCATTGCATAACTAGGTGTGCACAATATATCTCTGACTAAATCTGTAAATGATCAGTATCATCCTGGTGCTGGAAGCAGATAAAATCTAGATTTTTATAAATAAATAAACTCTTTTTTTTGTACCAGGTTACAAAAATACTTTAGTTCCAATACTAACAGTTCTACTGTTTTTATGTTTTTTTTTTTTCTACTTTTATATGTTCTTATGCCTGTTGAAGCATATAAACTCTAGATCAGAGCTTTAGTAAGAACACAAAACAAAATATAGCAGCCTATATATTTAATATTGGCCATCTTTTCTATTATATTTTCAGCTAAAACAAAAAAATAAGTATCTGATATCAGTATTGTCCAATAGTTTTGCAGAACACTATGAGGAATAAATGATATATAGGGTTGTGGAGTACCTGAGCTGGACACACTGGGACTGTCCAAATCCTCCTCATTATTCTGCTCACATGTGAGTCCTGTATCCAATCTCAACTCACTGAGCTGCTGTTGCAGTGCCAGCATCAGCAGGCTGGGGGCGCCCTGGAGTCGGTTCTGCAGGGTACGACACAACCATCAGTACTGAGGGCAACTGGAAAAGACTTACATTAATGTATTTGGCAGACACTTTTGAAATCAAGGTATACATTTTATCAGTGCACCCACTTCCTGAGAATCAAACCCGTAAGCTTGGGATTGGGAGCGGTAATGTGTTACTGTTTGAGCTATACGAATGCAATAACACAATACAAATACAATATCAGGAATACATGCATAAATATTCTACATTAGCTGAAAGGATAGTAATAGAGTGCATCAGCATAACATGAGACATTTTTTGTGTTTAAGGAACCATATTAACCTATGTCCCAGACTGCTGTTACTCCACCTCACCCTCACTGCATAAAACATTGTTAAATCTTTAATATTTTAAAAGGTCGGAAATCAGTGATATTACAGCCCCACGAACTGGTTTCTTGTATAAATGAAAAATAGTGATGATGTGTTATACATTTACATTAGAATAATCATAATTTGTGTGACAACAAACATATGTAAGATGGCCTGGATAGACAGCTTCAAGCATGTAGCACATGTGTTTTTGTGTGCACATAACCCATGTTGAGTGTGCTCATGCACACCACTGCCAGTAGTTATGTAAGCCAACGACAAATGCACCAAACCTGGAACATCAATAATTTACCAAAGACAGGACAGATACTGTTGCGTACACTATTTTTTGATCTTGTGGTTCTGGTTTAGTTTCTGGACCTAGTTTCATGCTCTCGGCAGCTAATAATTCAACTATTAAAACACATTGTGGTTGGCACCATGGCACAAGTGAACCTGTGTTTAATAACATCTGTGTCTGGGGTTTATTTTAGTTTTGTTCATGGTTTAGTTTGTACAGATTTTGTCTAGGCATCACAGTATGTTCCACACCTGGCCTAAATCACCACTCAAAGTGTATTTTGGGTTTTTTGTTATATTTTGCTGGTCTATGACACAAAGGTGGTTTGACTTGGGTTATTATTTTAACCGCTTTCTCTATTTACAGTTCACTGTTTTTCTCTACTTATTTTCCATAAAAGGAAATTATTGTTTACACATTATTGTGTAGGCGATTGCACCACCGTCTAGTCAGTGCTAATACCAGTAATCGGTTTGACCGTTGATTCTGTACATGTGTGAAAAGTATGATATCAAGTCTATCAACTTTTAATGTTTTATTCTCTACATTATCCAATTTTCCATCTGTTAGAAGGCCTAAGGGAACCTACTCACTAGAGAAAGAGGAGCATTTGAAGATGAGACTTCGTTAGATTCATTTTAAGCGTTTGGAAAGAGCCGAGTCAGTTTAAAATCAAGTGGGAATACAGCAAATTGGATTTCAAAAAGCAGAAGCCTCTCTGAAATTCTATTTGGACATTGGACAAATGCATCAGAGCTAAGTTAAAGGGGTCATATGATGCGATTTCAAGTTTTCCTTTCTCTTTGGAGTGTTACAAGCTGTTCGTGAATAGATAAGATCCCTAAAGTTGCAAAGACTAAAGTCTCAAACCCAAAGAGATATTCTTTATAAAAGTTAAGACTCGTCCACTCCCTCCTAAAACGCCTCGTTTAAACACGCCCCCACATGTGTACGTCACTGTGTGGGAACATTTGCATAACACGGCCCAAATGTTCACGCAAAGAAAGAAGGCGTAACTTTTTTTCTCGCTGTTGCCACTGCCGCCATGTTGTGGAGACGATGTGTTTCGTTGTGAAAGCGAAACTACTTTGTTTGTCCTTCCAAAAGAGGACACAACTAGAAATCAGTGGTTAAGTTGTATTTACAACACTATTCCAGAACACTTCAACCCAAATATTCAGATGTGTGCAGCCCATTTTACGGAGGACTGTTTCCTGATCCTGGTAGCGTAGCCTACAATGCCGGTGTCTGTTTCTATAAAGTGGGGCAATTCCAACTTTGCAAGGACAGTCTGGCACTTCTGACACACAGCCTGTAAGTACGTTTTTTTATATTTAAAGAATTTGCCTCTGACGATTCAAACACGAGTTTTGAGCAGTGTAGAGTAGCACTTTTTGTTTGTCATTTCTCCGATCACAAATGCAGACATGGTTTTATGTTTACGATCTACGCGTTTCAGAAAGGCGGGGCATAGAGGAGCAACAATAATGTACATTATGTGGAAAATAATGTTTTTTGAACCTTAAACCGCATAAACACCAAATACACAAAATAATGTTATTTTCAGCAACATCATATGACCCCTTTAAAATGTTCTGATATTTGAGTCAAATTCTTGTGTTTTTCCTCTACATTCCTGCAACACGCCATTTCCTTTGAAATCAGCACAGAAGCATGTCCATTATTCAAGACCAAAATAAGACTTAAAAGAACTTTATAATTGTCCTTAGAATCGCTTATATGAAACCATGGCAACGTGGTTTAGCGGCTGAGGTTTTAATGAGAAAAATTAGAAGTATAAAATTGTAAAACAGAGGAGGAGGACAGCGAGAGTGAAGCAAGTCTGCCAGATGTGAACAAAGACCACAAGCATACACCTCACTGAAAACATGATCCAGTTGTGATGATTTCAGAGCTAATATTGGCTATTCAGTCTATGACTTAACCTTGTCTCGTGTTCCATTGAAGATCTTTGATTCCGCTTCACGATTAACTGACTTGAGACGGCGAGACGGATCACCTGCTTTGGTGTCTCACCCTCAAAGGCCTGATGCACAAAAGCACGCAGAAGGCAGCAGTCTATTTGATTATCACAGAAACAGACAGGACCCAAGGGAGATCAGGCTGCATGTGTACTCTCATTATCAAGCTGCCGTGAGCGCCTTGCCTTTAATGTGCCGAAATGGGACACAACCATCACCCCCATTACACACACACACACACACACACACACATCACCCTGCCCCCACTATATATCATCACACACACACATCACTCTAACACTCCTAAAGTACTAAATACATCACCAAACTGCACTAATTAATTTCTGTAGCACACATCCACACGAGTACAGCAGGGAAACTTTGGCCTTGAGGACTGATGTAGTTCGTTTGAACATATGATGTATGTGCAAACACGCTACTGTAATGCAAACACTGATGGGCTCTCAACTACAAAGCTGAACTACAAATACATCTGTAGTCTGGCAAACTGGTTTAAAGCGCAGGGATTGACATGAAACAAATGGGATGAGATGTAAGATTTCTCCCAGTTACATTGCTAATTATTTAATTAAAGGGTGCATGTGTAATTACATGTTACCCACAGGGCTGTGTGAGCACCGCACCACACTCCATCCTCACTGAAGTCGCCTGAAGAGATCAAATCTGATTGTCTTTCTATAATTGGTTAATTAACAGCTGCAGTTTAAATCAGTCAGAAACAAAAAGCATATAGATAGATAGATAGATAGATAGATAGATATCCCCCCACTTTTAATAAAATGTAAATTCGTCCCCCGCACATTTTTCGGCCAAGTGTGTTGACGTAGAGGTTTTCAGGGGCCATAGATTTAAATTCAAAGAGAAAAGATAGTCCTTGCATGATCTGGCGTTTTATTGTATCCAAAATGAAAAGAGCTGAACATTACAGAGTGCAAAACACTCTCATGCAGTGTATGCTTCATTCATACTGGAATCCAAAACAGACTCATTGAACTAATAACTTATGACGTGCAGGAAATCCCTATTATGGACAAAGACATCCAGCTATCTCTGTAGCTCAGCTGAATACAAAACATAAAGACAATGCATGCACAATTGTGACAATATATGGTTTGTGTGTGTTTTTCAAGTCATCCAGGTAATAAATAAAGCATATGAATAATGCAGTGCTAACTGACATAGCATTTATTACAGTGGCCTATAGAAACTATAAAATATATTTTCTGCCTTATTCTGTGATAAAAATTGAAAAAAGTATAGTATATAAACAAACCATAAAACTGATATTAGGAAAATATAGGACAAATATTACAAATTTAATTAATAATACAAGTTATTGGTAATTGTCCAGAAGTCTTATTCTTAGCCAGAAGTAATTTCTTAGTCAATTAAAAGAGATAAGAAAATTAATAAAATCTGTCA